GGGTCGTACTCACCGACAGGACCTGTGATGCTAATGACCACACGTCCAAATTGTAGAATCTGGCAAAGGTATTCTGCGAAGACCATCCAGCCGCCATACAAATATATTTGATAGAAACGCCCTTAGTCCACACCCACGAGGAGGCAACCGCCCTCGTTGAAATGGGCTCTGACACCAATAGGACATTCCATTCCCCGGCTGGAATATGCCAAGGCAATAGCGTCGACCACCCAATGTGATAGCCGTTGTTTGGAGACCGGCTGCCCTTTGTCGCTGCCTCCATAGCATACAAACAGCTGCTCAGATTGCCGAAACTGAGCCGTGCGGTCGATGTAAACTCACAAAGACCTCACCAGACACAACACCTGATTCGGGGCGGCATCCAATGAAGTCTCCGGCTCTGGAGTGAAAGCAGAAAGAGCCACCACTTGTGCTCTGAACAGTGTCGAGAGCGATTTAGGCACGTAGCCCAATCTTGGCTTGAGCGTGACGTTACAATCACCTGGTTCAAACTGCATGCAGTCCACATTCACAGAGAGCGCATGCAAATCCCCCACACACTTGACCAAAGCAAGGGGCGAGCAGCAGCACTGTTTTAAGCGAGAGCTCCCTTCGAGCTACTTCAGACTGTCGGCTTGAGGGCGGAAGGGCTAGCGCCCCCAGCACCAGAGCCAGATCCCAATCTTCTCGCACCTCTCAGAAATCTGGTCACTAGATCGTGTTTTCCCACTGAGCGCCCGTCGATAGCAGCGTGAAAGGCAGAGATAGCTGCAACATAAACCTTAAGAGTGGAAGGCATACTGCCGCCGTCCATTCGTTGTTGCAAAAAATTCAGAATGTCAGACATGGGGCAATTTCCCGGGTCTCGACCATTCGATTCACACCATCTCTCAAACACTGCCCATTTACAAGCGTACAGGCGTCTCGTAGAAGGGGCTCGCGCCTCCGTAATCGTGACCATCACACGGCGAGACAATGAGCCCGGGTTTACCGGTTCCCGCACACCAGAAGTTTCCACCATTCTGGGTTGGGGTGCCATACCGAGCTGTCCGCCTGAGACAGAAGATCCTGTCTCAGCGGGATCAGCCACGGGGGAGCCGTTAGTATTTCCAGCAGATCGGGAAACCAGGGCCTGTTTGGCCAATACGGAGCAACTAATAACACTGACGCCTTCTCCTCTCTGATTTTGTGTAGCACTTAAGACCAAATCTTCCCCGGGCGGGGAATGCTTACAGACGGCATTCGGCCACGGCATCGTGAGTGCATCCCCGCCTAGGGGAGAGAGTGACAGAGAGAAGAACAGAGGGCAATGCTTGTTCTCCTCTGTCGCGAACAAGTCTACCTCCGCTTTCCCGAACCGTTCCCAGATCAGCCTCACTGTCCCAGGGTTCAGTCTCCATTCTCCGTGAGGAATCCCGTCCCTCAATAGCATATCCGTGGCGCTGTTCAGGCAGCCCGGAACATGCGCTGCTCGAATGGAGAGCTGATGGTGATCGACCCACAGCAAAAGGCATGCTGCCTGTCTGTAAAGTGCTCTCGAGTATACTCAGCCCTGGCGGTTTATGTACGATACCACCGACATGTTGTCCGTACGAATCAACACGTGATGCCCCCGGACTTGCATGAGGAAACTCCGAAGAGCCAAAAAGACCGCTCTCAGCTTGAGGCGATTTATGTGCCACGTTCTCTCCGACTCTGTCCAGTAGCCCGAGGCCGGTACACCGTCGCAGTGATACGCTATGCCTTTGAACACAAATCTCAGAAAGCGCCTGTGACGAGGGACGATCTGGATATGAAAAAATACGTCTTTCAGGTCCACCGAAGCAAACCAATCTCCGGGTCGTATCTTTGCGAGTATAGGCTTTAGCGTTGTCATTTTGAAAGCACGTTTGTATAATGCACGGTTGATGGGTCTCAGGTCTAAAATTGGACTGAAACCACCATCTTTCTTTGAAACGACAAAGTACCGGCTGTAAAATCCGCTCTCTCTCGCTTGGTGGGACCACTTCGATCGTGCGTTTCGCGAGGAGATTGAGAATTTCTTGCCTCAGCACTGGCATGTTGTGTGCCAGAACTGTTGACATGACCACGCCATTGAACCGGGGTGGTCTGCGCCAAAACTGAAGCGTGTAGCCGTTCTCTATTACGTTCTGCAACCAATCCGAAATGCCCGGAATGGACCGCCATGCGCTCGCAAAAAGACACAAAGGGTGGTGCGCCTCATCCTCTGAATTCTGAACAACGCCGCTGTATGCCGGGGTCGTATTCAGAAAGCTCACGGGACGAGTGGGAGCGCTGTATGTTAGCGAGGGTCGTGCGTATGTGCGAGGGGTCCGACACCGGCCACAGGGGCGTGAGCCTCGCCAGATACACGGGGAAGCTGCAAGCCTGACTCTATCGGCGGTTTCATGGCCGAGTGTGAATCTGCTGTCACTGGAGGAGGAGAAAAAAGCTCTTTTTGTGAGGGTGTCACAAACTTTATTGCATTTTGAACATGCGAGGGGTCCGACACCGGCCACAGGGGCGTGAGCCTCGCCAGATACACGGGGAAGCTGCAAGCCTGACTCTATCGGCGGTTTCATGGCCGAGTGTGAATCTGCTGTCACTGGAGGAGGAGAAAAAAGCTCTTTTTGTGAGGGTGTCACAAACTTTATTGCATTTTGAACATACACGACACAGACATTCTCGTAGTTGCCTGCATCTCAGAGAACATCTCAAACGCTTTGGGGCGGGCTCGCCACTCGGCGCTCTCCTCCTCTGCACCCTCCCGTCAGGAATGAGGCTTCTGTTCCGGTGGGGGAGCTCCCCTGGGACGGCCGCCTTTCTTGAAGCTGTGACGCCCCTTCGGTGTCCTCTGCCACGGAGTTTTGGCACAAGCAGACGGCTCTGGGTCCGGCGCCGCTGAAGCAGAGGGGGGCCGCTTCGACGGCCGGTTGGAAGCAGATGAGGATCTACTACGTGCAGAGGGCTGCGCTGCCCGGTGTGGCAGGAAGTGACTCATCTCCTTGGAGCACTTCTGTGCCTCTGAGAAACGCTCCACGATAGCCTCCACTGCGTCTCCAAAGAGGCCGGATGGAGATACAGGAGCGTTGAGCAGCGCCCTCCTGTCCACGTCCTTAAGCTCAGTGAGTGTCAGCCACAGATGCCGGTGGAGCACCACCATGTAGCCCATGCTTCGTCCGATCTCCTGGACCGTCTTCTTTGTGGCTTTAAGTGCAAAATCCGTCGCTGTGCGTAGATCCTTAAACGCCTCGGGATCAGCCCCACCCTCGTCCAGGGATTTCAGGAGCTGTGCCTGAAAAACTTGGAGCACTGCCATCGTGTGCAGCGCTGAGATCACTTCTCCCGAGGCGGCGTACACGTTGTCCACAACGTGTGCGGTCAGATGGCAGGGCCTTGATGGCAGCGTAGCACCCGTCTTGAGGGAAGCAGAGGAGGAGCAGAGGTGCGTGGTGATGGATTCCTCGACTTTAGTGAAGATCTCCGACCCGCCAGCGTGAGTGCAAGCCGATTGGGATGCAGCGGCTTAGCGACCTCGTCGTGGAACCACGAATCCAGGTTGCTCTTAGCTGGTTCATCGGGGGATTCCCACTCTAGACCGAGATTGCTCACAGCCCTGGTAAGAATCCGGACGAGCTCATCCTGGAACGCAGCGTGTCCCTCCACTTCAGAGCGCTCCTCTGGAGTGCGGGCCAAGTCCTTCTCAGACGCCGTTAGGGACAGCGCCTGGTCAAGATCATCGTCGTCCCCCGCCGCACTGAACGAGAATCTCCAAAGCGCCAGAGGCGGGTTGCAGACTCTCTTCTGCCAAGCACACCGGAGAGCAGGGGGGGGGAACTGCGCCTTTCTGCGCGGTCGCCCACATGCAGCTGTCGTCCCACCAGCGGCTCGTTGGCGGCGGTGGGATGTTGCAGAGAGAAATCCCAGAGGGCGATGTTCCTCCAGGCCCTAAGCATGGGCGAGACCCAGGCACCAGATGCAGAACTCGTGAGTGTGCGGGGCCTCAATGGGTCCCGAACACAGCATGCAAACATTGGACATGCTGGAACGCCGAGAGGGAAATCCGTCTTTCTGCGTTTTCTCCACAGCTGTCTTCGATAGGATTCTGAGCTTATGCCGCCAATACAGTGCATTATATAGTGGCGGGGGCCCCGCCCCTATTCGCCGTCTTGGCTGGCATTGGCCAGAGAGAGTTGCAATTTCACTGGCGTTGTGCAATAAGATTTCAGGTAGGTTAGGAAGGAAGGGAGTCCCCAAGGCATTAACGCCATGTCGAGAGACCGTTCTCGAGAGGGAACCACACGTGTGCTTAAGGTCATCCATTCATTGGTTCATCCATTCAACTGTACCGAGTTCGTTTGGAAGCGGATCGAGACCACCTCTTCAGCTGGGTTTTGGTACGGTTGTTTGCTCCGCACCCGAGTGCGATTGCTGTATTCACACCTGCGCAAAAAATCCGCACTAAAGGGGGAAACAAACTTGAGTTTGATTCAGTCGAACCAAACAAGACAGGTGTGAATACAGCAATCGCACTCTGGTGCGGACCAAACAACCACACCGAGACCCAGCTGAAGAGGTGGTCTCGCTCCACTTCCAAACAAACTCTGGTATGCTTAAGAGTTTCTGTCCAATGAATGGATGACCTTAGCACACTTACAATTTGTGGTTCACTTGCAAAAAGGGCAGTGTGAAAGCTAACTGCATCAAAAAAAATTTTTTTTTACAACATTGTATTTGGATCGGACCAAAGCAAGTGAACTAGCGGACTTTCCTGGTGTGAATACACCCTAAGACTGATTAGATCAACTAAAACAAATCACCTGCACACACACACAGACCAACCATATCATCACACTTACGTCTCGATTTAACATCTTTCTTTCCTGTTCTACATATCTGTACTTTGGCACCCTGATACTGATTACTTCACCATAGGAGTCATGTGACCTGTGTGACAGCGTACATGTGTGTAATTTGTGTGCATATGTATGGGTCTATAGGGCTCCGTTAGGGGAATATACGGTTGGGAGAGCAGCTTACGGCAGAAACCACAGGAACGTACAGTCTTTCAGGCTGGTACAGGCACCTGGAGCAAACCGGTGAACCCAGACAAGAACAGCAAACCAGAGGCGGTATGTACCTGCCCAGGTTAAGATTCAGTGCTCTGTCTGGTTTATTGCAGATGTAGAGGGTCCGCCTCAGTTTTGTCCCATTCATGCTCTCTGTATTACATTGAGCTGTTTTCATAAGCGATGGATGCCACTTTATGAATGTGTGCATGAGTCCTGTGGTTTCCTTTCCGGATGGTAGATTAGTCTCTGGAATCTTCATCTTCATCTTATGTTCCTCCTGTAGCTGTGTGTCCATGTCTGTTTTTCCTCTGTAATTGCCTTGCAAACATTTGCTTCTCCATGATGTTTTTTTTATTATGTTGCTTTTAAGCGATATATATTGTGAAAAGTGCTTTACAAATAAATTGAAATTCATTGTGTGCAGTGTCATGCATGCTGTACTGATATTCTAACATACATAAACAAAGATAAAAATGCTTATAAAAAAATACACATCTATTCATGATGAGTAATAATAAAGTTAATCACTTTCAGCTTCAACAAGACTTTCTCAATAGTTAGCATTGTGAAAGCTGGCAAAGACAGATCAGCAGGGGACTTCATTAAAACTGTGCATTATGTGTGTGGTTTTCACATGAAATGTTTAACCACTCACTTTAGATTATGTATTCTTCCTTTGTGTATGTTTGTTTCTCACTGATGTATCTGATCTACTAATTGAAGGTTAAGAACAATGCTTGTTCATCTGCATCAAGTTCGACCCTGAGCCCCAGACCTGGAAAGAGAGAACAACCGTACCATGTAAGTCTGGAAGGTTTCTAAACCTTTCTTTAATCTCACCGCAAACACGACTGTTACTTTAGTCCAGTACCCATGCTAAGTAAACTTTAGATTTGTGTTTCATTTGATTTGCATTGATTCATTTAGCAGGCATTATTATATATGCATACAGCATGCTGAACATTCTCTGTGAAGGCTTTCTGTAATGTGAAGACTTTAAGTAATATTTGACCCAAAAATGAAAAATCGCTGAAAATTTACTCCCTTGACCTGAGGGTGAGTACATTTTCAGCATGTTTTAATTTTTAGGTGAATATTATGAAAATTATACATTTGAGTAATATTATTTGGATTTACTTTGGGTTGCTCTGACCTTTGAAAAGTAATATTAATCCTGCTTGAACAGTCACTTCTCTGTTGATAGAATAAGACATCCGTGTTATGAATGTAATAGGTAATATTGACTTCCTGTTTCTCTATGTGCAGGATGGAAAAGGTTATGCCATTGGAGAGCTTGTGTGGGGAAAAGTAAAGGGCTTCTCTTGGTGGCCTGGACTGGTGGTGGCATGGAAGGGCAGGATGCTTCCTGTGTCGATGAGGCGCGTGGAGTGGTTTGGAGATGGCATGTTTTCAGAGGTTAGGAGTGTTTACTTGCTTGGTTTCTCCTGATTCTCATCTGAGAGATACTTTTCCCCTTATTCTTCCAAGGATCTGTTTCATGTTGAAGCATGTTTCTCTTGTTGATCTTAGATTCATACAGAGGGACTGCTGCCCTTCGCTGCATTTGCAAAGTGCTTTTTTAGTAAATCCTATGAAGGTCTGCCTACCTACAAGAATGCTATCTACCAAATCCTAGAGGTACAGTGGAAAGATAATTATTTAACCATTCTTTTGAAAACTAGGATTGGGGATCGAGAACCAGTTCTTATTTTTATTAATATTTTAGTATTGCACTATATTGTTGTGTCCTTGTGTAGTTGGCAGCGGAGCGCTGTGGGAAGACTTTCCCCCCCTCTGAGAAGAAAGGGGAAGAGGTGAAGGCTATGCTGGATTGGGCATTTGGAGGCTTCCAGCCCATGGGTCCTGATGGCTTTTTGCCTCTTGTGGGTATGTAAAAAACCAAACAATAATCTGTAATTGCAAAAACATTTGGTGATTGACAGCAGTTTTGAAAGTTGAAAATAACATAGACTACAAGAGTTGACAACTGACTTTAGTTGTGTGATTTGATCCGAAAAATACACGGAAATGTCAAACAACAGTGAAAGTGCTCTAATAAGCAAAATCTTGATCTAGGTTGATTTAACAACAGTGCCTTCTGCTTTTTCCATTTCACAGACAGCTCTACCAGTAATAAAACTGAGTCTGATTCCTCTGTGTCTGATTATCAGCCTCCAGCCAAGAGGAAGTACGTCAACAAGAACAGACAGTCAACTCAGGATTACACCAGAGGTGAATTATAGATCAATCAGCGACGTATAGGCCAGAACTTTGCCATAAAGAGCACAAATCATGTTTTTATTTCATAAAATACTGAACTATAGATTATTAGAGTGTTTTTAGACATTTACATAATTTTGGTGAGAAAACATACCTGTTTTGTCTTCCTCTTCTCAGATCAAATGGTCAGTGAGGTAACCGTTAAAGGCAGAAACATTGAAGGTAAGTCACTTAAAATTTCCTGCTGGGCCAATCAGAAAACCTGGTTATATGAGGAAATTGTAAAATTATGGCCTGAAATCCCTGTCTGGAAAAACACTTCAGATTAAATTTATACTTGCACTGACAATATTTTCTCAGCTGTCACTACAAGCAATCACACCTTTAATTTTATTTTTAACAACTTATTTTTGTCTTTAGGACATTGCTCAGTCGTGTATTTGAATTCATTACAAGATAATCATACAGAATGTCTGTTCTCATTGTTCTTTCCCCAGATTTCTGCCTGTCCTGTGGAACTGGCAACATTGAAATGTTCCATCCTCTTTTTAAGGGAAGCCTTTGTTTTAAGTGCAAGGTATGAATCGATTCTTGTGTCTTATCTGTTTAGTGCGGAATCATAAAATTAGTAAGCTACTTACTATTTGCTGGCTGGAATTACATTTTTTTTGTGTGTTTGTGTAGGAGAACTTTACAGAGACGCTGTACAGGTATGATGATGATGGCTATCAGTCGTACTGTACCATATGCTGTGCTGGACAAGAGGTCATTCTTTGTGGAAACGCCAGCTGCTGCAGGTTTAAACTCAAACGCAAACTTAAACCTTAATGCCATGTTAACCATCATAACAGATTGTTTCACCATCTTTCTCTTTTTTCACTCTGTTCAGGTGTTTCTGTAAAGACTGTTTGAATGTGTTGGTGGGACCAGGGACGTTCGATAATCTGAAGGATGTTGACCCATGGAGCTGTTACATTTGCCTGCCCTCTAAGTGCTACGGCGTGCTCAAACTCAGGTCTGATTGGAGAGTTCGTGTCCAGGAGTATTTTGCCAATAACAGTGCCTTTGAATTTGTGAGTGTCATTCTTATCCTTCTTGTGTTAGTTATCCAACTAGTCATATTCATATTTTGCTATTTGCATCACCATTTTAATATACACTACCATTCAAAAGTTTGGCATTTGTTGGACTTTAAAAAATTAAGTCTCTTATGCTCACCAAGGCTGCATTTATTGAATCATAAATACAGTAAAAACAATAATATTGTGAAATAATCCTAATCCTATATTCAAAATAACTTTTCTATTTGAATATATTTTAAAATGTAATTCTTTTGATGACAAAGCTGTATTACACTAGTTATCAGTGTCACATGATCTTTCAAAAATCTTTATAATATGCTGATTAAGGAAATATGGAAAACCAGAATGATGTTTTAATATGAAGAACACTGTTTTTGTCCTTATTTTAGGAGCCACACAGAGTGTATCCTTCAATTCCAGCTCATCAGCGTCGTCCAATCAGAGTCCTCTCCCTGTTTGATGGGATTGCAACAGGTCTGCTCACTTGTTTTGCTTTAATATTAAATGAATATTTCCACCAAAAAAATTAATGTTTCATGATGTCAGGTTAGTCTTCAACAATTCATTTTTGTGTTCCACAGAAGAAAGTAAGTCATACAGATATGGAACAAGATGACAAGGAGTTTTTGGCTAAACTATTCATTTTAATATTTTATTCTTATCTCTTTTTTTGCAGGCTATCTCGTTTTAAAAGACCTGGGTTTTAAGGTGGAGCGCTACATTGCCTCTGAGATCTGTGAAGACTCCATTGCTGTTGGAATGATTAAACATGAGGGCCTGATTGAATATGTAAAAGATGTGCGCACCATCACAAGGAAACATGTACGTATAGAGCATTATCGCACAAAATATTTATTTATAGAATATCATCATTCACATTCTTCACAGACATTCTTCAACTAGCATAAGGATTTGAACAGTTAACCAGATTTAATAGCTAAACATTGCTATTTTTATATGGTCTTCCTCATATCCATAAGAACGAGGGGAAATCACTGTGGAAAGAACACTTTTAAAGTTCTCTTTTGTCGTACCATCTTGTAGCTGGCCGAGTGGGGGCCCTTTGACCTCCTGATTGGTGGAAGTCCCTGTAATGACCTGTCCATGGTGAATCCAGCCAGAAAAGGTCTTTTTGGTAAGATATTTGTACATGCAAAAAATTTTGAAATTTAGGTTGATCTGAGCATGGTCTTTAGTATTAGTTATATTTATATAACTCCATTTTTAAAAAGGTTCAATTTCAATTTCTCATCTCCTTTCAGAAGGCACAGGTCGACTGTTCTTTGAATATTACCGCATGTTAACCATGATGAGGCCAAAAGAGGATGATGATCGCCCCTTTTTCTGGCTCTTTGAGAATGTAGTAGCCATGAGTGCCCACGACAAGGCTGATATCTGTCGTTTCCTGGAGGTAAAAAATAATTTTTCCTTTTTCTCCACCAGGCTAGAGATGTGGTCAACATTAGTGAAATTTTTGCAAATATTAGCGTGCAAAAATGTCCAGTGTAGTGATGTATGAAGCACATCTCATAGAGAACAGAAGTCATGTTCAAACCAATCAACATTCTGGTTGAACTTGAACCTGATGCAAAATTTGCATGGAAAAATCTTTTGCCCTCACAAGATATTCCATATTGCTTGGATTCCTATTAAAATGGCTGGACTTTGTCTGCGAAAAATAGCCAAACAACACTAAATGTGAACGCACCTTTAGACATGCCATTTACCAGAGGTGTTTAGCATGTTATTGGTGTTGTTGTTGAAGATGGTTATGAATTATCATGCATTTATCTGTTTCCAGTGTAATCCTGTGATGATTGATGCTGTGAAAGTAAGCCCAGCCCACAGGGCCCGTTACTTCTGGGGAAATGTACCTGGAATGAACCGGTATAAATGCAGGCACACACACACACAATCAATTACACATATCTGTAAACATAAAGCTCAACTTTATGGAAATGTATGCATGTTCAGTAACAGATGGGTGCATTCACAAATTAATGTGACTGAAAACTTGATTTTGTGTTTGTAGACCACTTGCTACTTCACTCGCTGATAAAGCAGATCTGCAGGACTGCCTGGAGGTCGGACGAACTGCAATGGTAAACAGGTTTATTATGCCTTCTGACTGAAAAGTTGATATTTTGTGCATTAAATCAAAGAAATCCACAAATATACATTTTCATTTGTAGTTTTAGTTTACATTAGTCCTAGGAAGTATACATATTAGTGCCAGGAGTCTAGGCTCAACTAAGTTACCAATTACGTCTTATTTCTTTCTTTTTAATAAAAATAACAACTGTGTCATTACTGTATCATCAGTTCAACAAAGTTCGCACGATCACCACCAAGTCCAATTCCATCAAACAAGGGAAGATGGGACCTCTACCAGTCACCATGAATGGAAAAGAGGACTATCTTTGGTGCACTGAAATGGAGAGGTAAGAGATATTTATATTAACTGAATTTTACTCAAAGTTTTGCCTTATCAGGTTTGCATACAGCAATTCAGTGTGGCATACATGTGGCTCTTAACAAAATGACTGATTTTTTTTTTTTTCCTGCACTCAGAATATTTGGGTTCCCAAAGCATTACACAGATGTGAATAATATGGGGCGGGGACAGAGGCAGAAGTTGCTTGGGCGGTCCTGGAGCGTTCCCGTGATCCGACACCTCTTTGCCCCACTAAAGGATTACTTTGCTTGCGAGTAAAACCACCGTCTGGTCCAGGCAGCACTGGCACTGGAGGTCCAAATCGAGTCTCTCAGATATATGAAATTGATGATTTTTCCCCCCTGCAGATTCTGACTTCACAGAATATTTTCCAATTTTAATGTTGCATTTGTTCTAAACGTTCAGAAAGCATGTTATCCTGATGATTTATCCTTGGAATGCACAGACACTTTTGGATTGGATTTTGAGCATCTTAAGTACTGTCGTTTTTAACTTGTATACTTTTAAAGTCATTTTAATGCTGGAGAGAGCCACACGATACTCCATCCACTACCTCAGTGCCATTCTGTGATTGGTTCATTGTCTGGAGGAATGCCGCTTTAACTTATTCATTAAATTATAAATAGGCATAATTTTAATTTGGTTTAGTTTATCAGTTTTAACCTTTTGTCAGCTTTTTATATCACATTTTTACATTAAATATGTTTCTTGTTTAGGAATAAATATGTCCTGTTGTTAAATATTGCATAGTTTATGGCTGGACTTTGTCTGCGAAAAATAGCCAAACAACACTAAATGTGAACGCACCTTTAGACATGCCATTTACCAGAGGTGTTTAGCATGTTATTGGTGTTGTTGTTGAAGATGGTTATGAATTATCATGCATTTATCTGTTTCCAGTGTAATCCTGTGATGATTGATGCTGTGAAAGTAAGCCCAGCCCACAGGGCCCGTTACTTCTGGGGAAATGTACCTGGAATGAACCGGTATAAATGCAGGCACACACACACACAATCAATTACACATATCTGTAAACATAAAGCTCAACTTTATGGAAATGTATGCATGTTCAGTAACAGATGGGTGCATTCACAAATTAATGTGACTGAAAACTTGATTTTGTGTTTGTAGACCACTTGCTACTTCACTCGCTGATAAAGCAGATCTGCAGGACTGCCTGGAGGTCGGACGAACTGCAATGGTAAACAGGTTTATTATGCCTTCTGACTGAAAAGTTGATATTTTGTGCATTAAATCAAAGAAATCCACAAATATACATTTTCATTTGTAGTTTTAGTTTACATTAGTCCTAGGAAGTATACATATTAGTGCCAGGAGTCTAGGCTCAACTAAGTTACCAATTACGTCTTATTTCTTTCTTTTTAATAAAAATAACAACTGTGTCATTACTGTATCATCAGTTCAACAAAGTTCGCACGATCACCACCAAGTCCAATTCCATCAAACAAGGGAAGATGGGACCTCTACCAGTCACCATGAATGGAAAAGAGGACTATCTTTGGTGCACTGAAATGGAGAGGTAAGAGATATTTATATTAACTGAATTTTACTCAAAGTTTTGCCTTATCAGGTTTGCATACAGCAATTCAGTGTGGCATACATGTGGCTCTTAACAAAATGACTGATTTTTTTTTTTTTCCTGCACTCAGAATATTTGGGTTCCCAAAGCATTACACAGATGTGAATAATATGGGGCGGGGACAGAGGCAGAAGTTGCTTGGGCGGTCCTGGAGCGTTCCCGTGATCCGACACCTCTTTGCCCCACTAAAGGATTACTTTGCTTGCGAGTAAAACCACCGTCTGGTCCAGGCAGCACTGGCACTGGAGGTCCAAATCGAGTCTCTCAGATATATGAAATTGATGATTTTTTCCCCCCTGCAGATTCTGACTTCACAGAATATTTTCCAATTTTAATGTTGCATTTGTTCTAAACGTTCAGAGAGCATGTTATCCTGATGATTTATCCTTGGAATGCACAGACACTTTTGGATTGGATTTTGAGCATCTTAAGTACTGTCGTTTTTAACTTGTATACTTTTAAAGTCATTTTAATGCTGGAGAGAGCCACACGATACTCCATCCACTACCTCAGTGCCATTCTGTGATTGGTTCATTGTCTGGAGGAATGCCGCTTTAACTTATTCATTAAATTATAAATAGGCATAATGTTAATTTGGTTTAGTTTATCAGTTTTAACCTTTTGTCAGCTTTTTATATCACATTTTTACATTAAATATGTTTCTTGTTTAGGAATAAATATGTCCTGTTGTTAAATATTGCATAGTTTCATAATTTTTTAAATGATGATTGGTAATGTTGTCATTCCATGGTGCTGTTTTGTAATACAGAATGTTTGGTCATCATAATAACTACTAAGTCAACACTTAAATGTTTTCCTATTTAGCAGCATCTATTTAATGGAAAAGAGTGTTAATATACAGTACACCGGAGATTATTTGGTTTTCAATTAAACAGTGTTTTGTTTGTAGGAATACATGCAATCTTGTAGTGCTCCATGTATTTAGAAGCACAAATGTTGTCTGTGCCATTATATTTTAATAATTGATAGATGTGAGTTGACGGTAGCCTTTCTTTTTTTTTTTTTTTTTTTTTTTTTTTTTTTTTTTTT